CCTCCCCGCCCTCACGCGCTCCCTCACTCACCCACCCAGCGCGGGCGGCAGCGCGCGCCCCGCTTGGATCTCCCTCCTCACCCCGCCGCCGAGATCTCACGGGAACTCCAGCCCAACTCTCGCGAGAACAGCGGCTCGGACGGCCGGAATGACGGGGCTAGAAGCGCAGTCCGGCCGCGGTCCCCGCGCGCCGTACCGTAACACCCGCCTCGCTGCGAAACGGCTTCGAGATCAGCCGCCCCTCCGCAACCCACCGACCCAAAACCGCTCCGGCCCCCGGAGAGGAGCAGCCGGGAAAGCAGACGCTCTGCCAGCACCTGGCTCGCTCCAGCTCCTTTCCATAAATCCCAGGTAACCAAGGTTCCCCCAGAAACCGACAGCATTTTTGTTCCTTCCCATGCACAGATCAACACCCAGCTCCCCAGCCCAGCCTGCTGGGCTGATGCTTTCACGGACATCTTTCACTATGGAGATTCACAGCAGTTAAAATTGGATAAATCCGTAAACAATCCCAAACTCGATGTTTATAACGAGAAAGACCTGGAAGCTTTAAAAACAGAGAGTGTTACCAGCCCCTGCTGTAACTCATGCCACAGCCAGCCTGATAAAAGTGCTATTTAACATAAAATAGGCACTTCCAGATAAGGCAGCAGCTAAATTTATTTTTACAAACAGCATTCTAGCAATTCAATCAGTAATTCTCCCTGTCTGGGATCCAAGGAACATCTTGTCATTTCACCTGAGAAACATCATTGGTTAAATATAAAACATCACTGCAAACATCAGGGAAATTATCTTCCCAGTAGACAACCCTGCCCTACTGTCACTTACTGGATTTATGAGTACCATGAAGTAGCAATTTCTAAATATAAAGTGTGTCTTTAGAAAATGCAGCAGAGCCATCAGGCTAAATATCCCAGAGCCAGAGTCCTATAGCCTGAGTGGCTGTTATGGATCCTGCGTGACAATGCAGATCCTGACGTGCACAAAAACATTATCTATTTGTACTGGTGCTAATAAATTGCACCAGCTTTTAAGTGAGATGAAGAGACAATAAATTGGCTCAAACTCCCCTTGCTGTTCCCTCTCATTCTGACAACCCCCCTTATCATTAGTCTCAAATATGACATTAGCAGTGCAATGATTTTCAAGCACACATTAAGAACTCATATAATCACTGTTTTATTTTCATTTCCATTACTCCAGCCCCAGAAGTTGTCTTTCAGATTACTCCTCTCCATTCCCAACCGTTTTCTCCACAGGTGAGAAGCTAAATTGGATGTCTCTGCTTGTATAATTACTGGATAAAGTCAGTAGGACACCATCCTGGTTTATTTTTGTATTTGAAAAGCATGGTGTACTTCATCAGAATTGTGGTAGGTTTTCCCAGGGTCTTAATGGTGGGATTTTTCTTTAAACACAAGCCAAATTCAGATTTCCAATCAATGTCTGATCACCTGTTGACAATCTGCAGTTCTCAGCTTTCATTTCCCTTTGTACAGTCTTGCCAAATAATAAGATTCAGCAGAGTCCTTCCGGCTGGCCTGAGGCTTTATAGTTCTCACATCTTGGAACTGCTCCTTCAGTCTGTTTTGCAGAAGACGAGACTCATGTCCATCCCAGAATTTACAAAGCATTGTTCCTTTTGGCTTTAAAATACTCTGGGACAGATTCAGAAGGCCTAAACATAGATTGATCAACTTCTGATGATCGAGTTCCTTAATGCCTGTCGCATTAGGTGCCATGTCGCTCAAGATAACATCCACCTTCTCTGCAGGAAGCAGACTCTGAATTGTCCTCAGAGTGCTTGGGTCTGCAATGTCAGCCTCCGACAGGAAGACTGCTCCTTCCAGAGGAGAAATCCGCAGGAGGTCAACGCCAAGGACGAAGCCGGTTGGGACAGCGGGATCTAGATTATAAGAATGAATGACACACTGAACACTCAGAATGGTCACAAACAACTTGCATATAAATCAGCTCCGTGCTAGTCAATAAACAAAAAACATATCACCTGCCACGTCTGGTTTTCCTGTCCTTGGGCAGTTTGCTGGGTGCATCTGGATGGATGGTTTGCTATAAGCTAATCCATTCAAGACACGAAAGCTCAGTTACTTTGGATAAGCAAAGTGTGTTTTTTCTTGGCTTTCTTCTGTTCTTTCAAGGCTGACAGTCCAGAAATCCTGGACAATAGTACAGATGATAACACCTTCTCTTGTAAATATTAATGGCTTAAAACACATAATAGTGGTTACTACTGTTTTTCAAGAAAAGAAGTAAGAGTTCAGAAAAACCAAGTTACCTGCTGGAGGCTACACAAATTTCAAAACTGGATGAAGGGATCCTCCCCACAACAGTTAATCAGAATATTTTGTTACACCTACAAAGCACCTAATGTTAAGTTTTTATTTCACAAATATGATTTCTCCAGGCCGTATGATGATTTCCATTGCCATGTAGGCACACACCTTCACGCTTCTATCCGTGACTCTGGCGTTTGCCAGTACCCATGTCCCTTTCTCACACCACCACCATCACAGTTGAGTTTTCTTACATGCTTCAAGACAACCATCATTGCTTGCCAAAAACGTGTGCTTACCAGTACCCAAGGCGTTGACCCTCTCTACAGCAACCTGGCTCCAAGCACCAGGCGCTGCTCCACAGTCAAGAACAGAAAGTCCTGGGCGAAGAATACGAAGCTTGTCATCAATCTCCAGTAATTTGAAGGCACTTCGGCAACGGTAATGCTGCCGCTTCGTTGCTTTGACGAAAGGATCCTTCAAGTGCCGCTCCAACCACCAGTGCTCAGTTCCAGTTTTCTTCAGAAACCCCATGGTGGTGTGGAGACATTTGCTCACCAAACGTCGACAGCTGCCCAGGAAGACAGGTGAGTTAATCGGTTAGTGCATCATCACTTTGTATTTCAGAAGTCTCTACAGCAATTCTAACCTCAAGTGCAGCTCCAACCATTTAACACCAGGCTCAAATAAAGCCTCCAAATTTGAGACTCTTTGCACCTTCAGTTATCAGGTCCAATCCCAACAAAAAGGGATGTATTTTGGATGGAGGCCTCACAGGTTATCCCTGAAGTAAGGCAGGGAAGAGGGTCCCACAGCTCTTCACAGAACCACAGAACAGTTGAGGTTGGAAGGGACCTCTGAAGGTCATCTAAGTCCAGCCACCCTGCTCCTAGAGCACATGAACCAGGATTTTGTCCAGACGTTTGGGTTTTTTCCTTCACTTCTGCTCTGGTACTTGCGTTTAAGGCCCACGGGGCACAACATGGCAGACCGACCCCAGCAAGGCCGTGGGCAGCCTCCATG